TTTTTTTTTTTTGAGACAGAGTGTCACTTTGTTACCCTCAGAAGAGTGCCATGATGTCATAGACACAGCAACCCCAAACTATTGGGCTTAAGTGATCTCCTTGCCTCCCGAGTAGGTGGGACAACAGGCACCCACCACAACCCCCAGATATTTTTAGAGACAGGATCTTGCTCTTGCTCAGGCTGGTCTCAAACTCATTAGCTCAGGCAATCCACCCGCCTTGCAGCCACCAAGACTGGCATCCCAATTATGGGTTTTTTGTTTTTTTTTTTTGAGACAGAGTCTCATTTTGTTTTCCTGGTAGAGTGCGGTGGCATCACAGCTCACAGCAACCTCAAATTCTTGGGCTCAAGTGATTCTCTTGTCTCAGCCTCCCAAGTAGCTGGGACCACAGGCACCCACCACAACAACCACCTATTTTTAGAGATGAGGTCTTGCTCTGGCTTAGGCTGCCAACTATGTTTTTTAATACAAGCTTTCTCTTTAGACAAGTGGCAGTAACGAGTTTAGTCACCATTTTTAATATCCTACCTGAAAGAGTCGTGTGAAGATATCAAATTCAAAAACTGAAATATAATCATTGCAAGTCAAATCAATAGTGGATTTCAGAGCCATGGCCTCCAGTCCAGAACTGATGGGATGTACTTCATGTAGGGCCTGTCGAAAGCTCTTCCAAGGGACAATTGTCCTGAGGTGGGAGTAGAGAGAGGGCACAAATTGAGGTAAGAAAGATAATTCTGGCTGGGCATTGCTATAATCAAGGAAAAGAAAGACATTTACATCAAGCTCTTAATATCAATTACAATTCTCTTAAAGAAGCTGAGCTATATTTTGGTTGAGAACAGAAAGAAATGAGTAAGGCATACATTTCTTAACTTTCTAATGAGTAACACAGAAGTCTCTTCCCACTATTCTATGGCAGAAGGTCACAAATTGTCCTCTGTCTGATCTTTCTTCAGACATCTATTCCATTAGAGAAGCATAGAAATGAAGATGAGTTTACACTCTTTATATAATAAATATAATCCATGACCAGACTTTTAATACCTAACTGCTTGCATTTAAATTAACATTGTTAGCTGGGGGCTCCCTGCGTTGTCTATGGTGCAGTGCAGGGGCTATTCAGAGGTGTGATCATAGCTCACTGTAACCTCCAACTCCTGGACCCAAGGACCCCCTACCTCAGCATCCCAAGTAACAGGACCACAGGTGTGCACAACCACCCCTGGCTAAGCTTACTTTTTTAAAGCTCGAAAAACATTCTATGTTCTTTGAAGAACCCCCACTACCAAGGCAGATAGGAGGAAATAGGATTAGGGTATAGGAAGAACACAGTTGTGACAGAGATAAAGAAACATTTAAAGTAGGAGTTGGCCGGTACCCATAGTTCAGTGGGTAGGGTGCCAGCCACAAACACTGATGCTGGGTGGGTTTGAACCCAGCGTGGGCCAACTAAAGCAACAATGACAGCTGCAACCAAAAAAAATAGTGGGGTATTGCAGTGGGCACCTTTAGTCCCAGCTACTTGGGAGGCTGAGGCAAGAGAATTGCTTAAGCCCAAGAATTTGAGGTTGCTGTGAGCTATGACGCCACAGCACTCTACCCAGAGCAACATAGTGAGACTCTGTCTCAAAAATAAATTAATTAATTAAAATAAAATAAAAAAATAAAGTAGGAGTCACTAAACCCCAGCTAAGGCCAGCAAGAGGTATTATGGAATTTCTTTTCTGAAGATCTTTGAAATAAATACAATCTGCTTACCTTTGGAAACTTTAGTTACTGGACTGAAAAGTAAGAGATTAAGGGACATCTTGAAGTTTTCTCTAATGTAGTTAAGTTAAAGGTATTAAGTTAAACTTATTCCTATCCTCTTTAATTAGGTTTTTAAAATTGCTATTTAGTCTATATTTTATGTATAAACAACATATTTTTTAAAGGCCTTTAAAATGAGACTTACATTAGAATTTGTATATTCAACTGTAAAGTTTTATATTTGGCTACAAAAAAACCTTTCAGTTCTTTGACCCAAAATTCCAGAAGATATGAAAGAACATTTCTGTTTATATTTAAAAACATAAGAGCTGGGCAACAGGGCAAGCACCTGTCGTCCCAGCTACTCAGGAGGCTGAGGCAAGAGGATCACTCATAATGAAATGAAATAAGCCACAGATTGGGAGAAGATATCTGAAATGTAAGTAACTAACCAAGAATTAGTATCTCACAATAAGATAAGAACAAACGACTCAAAAGGAAAATGGATAAGTCAGGAGTAAGTCAGAGTAAGAATTCTGACTGGTCGTAAATGTGAAAAGATAATCCACATTTCTTGTCATCAGAGAATATATAGCAAAATGTGATACCAACTCACATCGGCAGTCTTAGCAAAATTATGGAGCTACTGGAACTCTTATATACTACTTAATGGAATATAAACTGGTGCAACCACTTTGGAAAATAATACTTAGCAAGGCAAAAGATGTGAAATCCCTCAGCAATTCTAATCCAAGGTATGTGACTAAGGAGAAATTCTTACATGTGAAGATAACTATGATACTCACAGCAGCACTGTTTGTGATAATAAATACTTTGAAATGTGAATATCCATTAACACAAAATGGATGGGAAGAGAAATGAAAGTATTCAATCAAAGAACATGGGCTTCAAAGCTTTCTTTTTTTTTCAGAAAGAGTCTTATAATGTCGCCCTCAGTTGATTGCTGTGGCGTTATGGCTCATAGTAACCTCAAACTTTTGGGCTTAAGTAATTCTCTTGCCTCAGGCTCCCAAGTAGCTGGGACTACAGGCACCCGCCACAATGCCCAGCCTTTTTTTATTTTTTTGTTGCAGTTGTCATTGTTGTCCAGCTGGCCCTGGCTGGGCTGGAACCTGCCAGCCTTGGTGCATGTGGTTGATGCTATAACCACTGTGCTACTGGCGCTGAACCCAAAGCTTTATTCCTTAAAAAAAAAGAAAAATGAAGGCTTGGCACCCATTATTCAGAGGTTAGGGCACTGGCCACATACACTGGGGCTAGGGGTTTGAACCCAACCCAGGCCTGATTAAAAAAAAAAAAAAATTGACAACTGCAACAGAAAAATAGCTGGGTATTGTGGTGAGCACCTGTAGTCCCAGCTAGTTGGGGGGCTGAGGTAAAAGAATCACTTAAGCCCAAGAGTTGGAGGTTGCTGTGAGCTATGATGTTACAGCACTCTACCAAGGACAACATGGTGAGATTCTGTTTCAAAAAAAAAAAAAAGAATGAATAGGGCAAAAAATGTTAATTTACCAATGTTCACTATTTTCCCAAAGTTTCCCACATTACAAATATTTCATTAATACATGTAACATAACCAAAAGCTCACAACATTTACTTTTTCATAGTTCACATTCATTACTTTGAGACTTACTTTTCCCCAAAAGCTTTTCTCCAAAACTCTGCAGCATCCGCTTTAGTAATCCGAAATGTGTCTCCTTGAAAGAGTCCACTTGGAAAGATTCCTTTTAGTTCTGCCAGCATGTGGCTGAAGATCAGGGACAGTTTGGTTAGGTTTCGCCTACAAATGACCACAGGGAGTATAATTAAACAAACACATAAATGTATGATTTTTCATAAATTTATTTTTAAGTGTACCAAATTTACCATATAAGATAATATGAACTTTAAAATATATTCAGAAGGGATCTCTTCAGATGTAATTTTCAGCCAATATTATTCAAAGATATATAGAACTGGGGATGAAGAAAGAAATGTGCTGTTGACAATATTACATATTCTGTGATGCTATTATTCTTTGTTCAAGGAAAAGTTTCAGAAACCGTTCCACTCTACAATATGAAATATGCAAATCAATGGAAGAAATACCTTTGTATTCACTTGGCCCACTCCTATCTCTTTCATTCAAATAGCTGTCACATTGTAAATAAAAAAATATTGCTTGCAGTCATATTTTAAAGATATATATGTGTGTGTGTATATATATATATTTTTTTTTTTTTTTTTTGAGACAGTCTTACTATATCACCCTCAGTAGAGCGCTGTGCTGTCACAGCTCACAGCAACCTCAAACTTTTGGGCGTAAGTGATTCTCTCGCCCCAGTCTCCCAAGTAGCTGGGACTACAGGCCTCCGCCACAATGCCTGGCTATTTTTGTTGTTGTTGTTGCGTTGTCGTTGGTGTTTTAGTCAGCCGGGGCCAGGTTCAAACCCACCAGCCTCGGTGTATGTGGCTGGCACTGTAACCATTGTGCTACGGGTGCCAAGCCATAAAGATTTTAATCTTAAATTATAATAATAAGGCCCAATAACTCTAAGCATAAACTAAGATGACTAAATTTACTTTTTTAAGATGACAGATTACAGAATTCAACAAATAAAGGTTAGAACTTGTGTACTGTTATAAACACTCAACCACAAAAGAAATAAATTTGTTAGGAAAGTAAAATATATTATTTCCAGCTTTCTATTAGCTATTTTGAATTTTTAGACAAAGATATTTTTTACATACCATATCCAAATTAAAGATAAATAACAATTCCCAACAAAGAAAACTATTTCACTGTCCAGATCTAGCAAATGTTTTCATTAAATCAGACCTCAAAGAGGTAAATTTTACTCAAACAATTCTTCTTCCTTTACCAAAATGAAATGCTAATATCTAAAACACACAAAAATTTCCACATAAGTGCATATGCTGCACTTAATTTAGCAGTATGCTGCTACTGTTTTTGAACAATTAGTTAACTCTATTCTGACAATCTGTTTAATGGATGTTGATTATAAAGATGCCTATCAATTTAACACACCAGATGATGTCTCTATTTTCCAGTATGTACTTTGATCAGATTATCTTTATCTTTAATGCTATTGTTACTGAGAATAGGATACAAACACTTTAGATATTGTTACACACTAAAAAGCTACCTATGTTCCCTTGCACTAATAATTTGTTATGTACTGAAAACTCTATTCTTGTCATACAATGAACCATAAAATTTGAAGTCAAATCACTATGAATTAGGCCGGGCATGGCTCACATCTGTAATCCTAACACTCTGGGAGGCCATGGCAAGTGGTTTGCCTGAGCTCATGGGTTCAAGACCAGCTGAGCAACAGCGAGACCACCATCTCTGAAAATAGCCAGGTGGTGTGGTGGGCACCTGTAGTCCCAGCTACTTGGGAGGCTGAGGCAAGATAATCACTTAAGCCCAAGAATTTGAGGTTGCTGTGAGCTGTGACGCTACAGCACTCTACCAAGGGCGACAAAGTGAGATTCTGTCTCTCCAAAAAAGAAAAAACCACTACTGACTGCCTAAAAATCTTCTTAAATAAAAATTGATTTTTCATGTTTTATGCTATACTGGGGGGTCACCATTAATGTCTTTCTTAGATTAAATGCAGTATCAAAATAATTAAGTTTCTCTGGCCCTGACTCTTTCGCAAAATGTTGCTGAAATCTTTCTAATCAGCTTTTCAACACATCCGCTTCAGGTTTTTGGTATTTGTTCTTTTACTTAAAGCAAGCTATTGCCTTTCTAGGTCCTGTCTGATTTCTAACGATATCTACAAAAGTGATAAATATTAATATTCTTTGAAGACAGTTTAAAATAATTCATATATCAAATAGCTGAAATATGAGACAAAAATACATGTATTTATGTAATCTCTAAACCCCATTAACTGTTTTCCTTTGAGATCTTTCAATTATTTCTAACTTCTAACATTTATCAAAGAAGAAAAAAACAGACAAGATCAAGAGTATATAACAAATGAAATATGAAACAGACAACTTGCCAGAAATCCTGCAAAGTACAACTTAATACCACTGAATCTCAAGTCTTGAGGACACTATACTATACAATCAGGGCCTTGAATCAGACATCTACATAACATTCCTCCAAATGTTAATGCTTAAAGATAGGCAAGGGAGGCCGGCCACAGTGGTCGATACCTGTAAATTACAACTTAAATCCCGCAAAGTATAACTTAATAACACTGAATTTCAAGTCTTGAGGACACTAGACTGTACAATCAGGGCCTTGAACCTCAGGCATCTACATAACATTCTACGAAATGTTAATGCTTAAAGATAGGAAAGGGAGACCAGCCACAGTGGTTGACACCTATAATCCTAGCACTCTGGGAGGCTGAAGCAGGTGGTTTGATTGCTTGAGCTTAAGAGTTGGGAGACCAGCCTGAGCAAGAGCAAGACCCTGTCTCTACTAAAAATTGAAAAACTAGCCCAGTGTTGTGGTGCACACATGTAGTCTCAGCTTCTTAGGAGGCTGAGGCAAGATGTTTGCTCGAGCCCAAGAGCCTGAAGTTGCTGTGAGCTATGATGGCACAGCACGATACCCAGGGCGACAGAATGAGACTCTGTCTCAGGAAAAAAAAAAAAAGGCAAGGGAGAGCCTATGATGCCCTTAAGGCATGCTACATTATTTAGAACCTACTATGCATAACTATGCTAAACAGTATGGCAGCACAATGACATGAGATGATGGAAAAAATACATATCACACCCTGAGGTTACAACAGAGCTCTTTCTAAAGAAACAGGTTTGAATTTTACTTCTTCCTGAAAATATTTTTCCTTGGTTTCTCCAGTATTGCCCTCTCTTGGTTCTCAGACGTGCTTTTGTTCTTTCTTTGGCTGTCTTCTCCATCTTCTTAAGAGATATTTCCTTTGCAATATCAAGGCTTCAAAAACTATTTTGCAAATAATTACCAAATCTTAAGCACTGACAGCTCCCCAAATGCCTACCACATTTCTCTACTTAAAGGCTAGCACCTCAAAGCAACATGTTCCAAATTAGACTAATTTTCTCAAGTCTGCTTTCTTCACATTGCTTACTCTGTATTGAATGACAACACCATCTTATTTCCCACAAATTCAAAACTTAAAAGTGTCATCTTTGCTTCTTTCATTCTTTTGTTCTCCATAACTGATTTGTTAATTAATCTCCTGAGAATCTGTTATCAACCCTACCTCTGTTTCATGTTATTCTAATTTAAACTCTGCTAGTAATTAAATTTAAATTCCAGTCTTCAGTCTCTCTACTATGCAGCTCCAATCTTGCCGCATTTAAAACATCTTTTAAAAAGGGAAAAACTGGCAGCGCCCGCTGCTAAGTGGGTAGGGCGCTGGCCACATAACACCGGGGCTGGTGGAGTTCGAACCCGGCCCAGGCCTGCTAAAAAACAACACTGACAACTACAACAACAACAAAAAATAGCTGAGTGTTGTAGCAGGTGCCTATAGTCCCAGCTACTTGGGAGGCTGAGGCAAGAGGATCACTTAAGTCCAAGAGTCTGAGGTTGCTGTGAGCTGTGACGCCATGGCATTCTACCCAGAGCGATAGCTTGAAACTCTGTCTCTAAATAAATAAATAGGAGGAAAAATAATCAATGTTTCACAGGAGCAATGGGATAAAATCCAAAAGATTCTAACACTTTTCCACTGACCTGAATCTAACCTATTCTAACTAGTTTCTTAGTTCTTCACTAATATGTTCCAGCCAAACCCAGGAGAAAGATGGAAGCTTTAGAGTAGAATGTACAGTTACTTAGATGTAACTAAGTACATCTGTCTTTTCTTTTTTTTTTTTTTTGAGACAGAGCCTCAAGCTGTCCCCCTGGGTAGAGTGCCGTGGCATTACAGCTCACAGCAACCTCCAACTCCTGGGCTCAAGCGAGTCTCCTGCCTCAGCCTCCCAAGTAGCTGGGACTACAGGTGCCCGCCACAACGCCTGGCCATTTTTTGATTGCAGCCGTCATTGTTGTTTGGCGGCTCCGGGCTGGGGATTCGAACCCGCCACCTTAGGTGTACGTGACTGGCGCCTTAGCCTTTTGAGCTATAGGCGCCGAGCCACATCTATCTTTTCTTACGGACACCCCCCTTCTTTATTTTCCCAACTCTCCGCTTCTGCCTGTTTCCTTTGTCTGAAATAAGACTCAGCCTCAATGCCACTTCTTAGGAAGCTGGCTAAATATATCAATAATGAAACTCTAAACCACCCCATATTGTCTCTGCAGTTCTCATATATCATCAGAACCAATCTTGTGGTATAATTATTTGTTCACAACAAGGGCTGAATCCGCTTCTGATGTGCATTTATATCCCACCAAGTATCTGACACAAATTTCAAAACCTCAATATGCCTTCAGAATAATCTAGATGCCTACTATATGCTGGAGTCTGGGAAGGAAGGTGGCAATGAACAAAATAACATTCCTGTTTTTAAAGGCATTTACATTCTCATGAGAGAGTGTCAGGCAGTGAAAGAAAAGTGCTTTGAAGAGACTCAAGCAGGGTCTGAGAAGAGAGCCATGCAGGGCTGCTACTTAGAGAGGATGGTCTTAGAGGCTTCTCTTGAGTGTTGCTTTTTAAGCTGAGCCTAAAGTGAAGACAAGGAGTGAGTCTTGGATAGACGGGGTCATGTTGGTATCTTTAGATATTCAAATAATTTTCCAGTAAAAATCTACCAGGTATCTAGCACTCTGTGGGATCACAGATAAAATATAGGTACCAAAATAATAATGGACAGAGAGCTTTTTCT